CTTTCCTGCAGGATGATGGAGAATGAAGAAGTAAGTGTATGGCGTGCAACCCAAATATTTAGAAACTTTCTTCACAAATATAGAGATCGGTTAACTGCTTCAGTAATTGTGGCTGGTTATGATGATGACGAAGGAGGACAAGTAAGGTTTTACTGTAGTGGTACTATTATTTACAGCTTTTTTTCCCTACTATCTGTTCTAGGTAGTTATTGGAGTTTAAATTTTTGCCTTGTATTTTTTCTGTGACTGTTTCAAGAAGAACTTTGGCTTTTTCAGTTGTATGCTATCCCACTAGGAGGATTCGTTAGTAGACAACGTTGCACGGCAAGTGGTAGTGGAAGTACCTTTGTTCAAGGTTTTTTGGACAGCAAGTGGAGAGTATGTAATTTTAATTTCTTGAAAATTTTCATTCCTGGTTTGATTTGCACAGTACTTATAGAGAAACTCAAAATAGTTTTTTTAGTAATTGGTGAGTTGTGGGACTAGTTGTTTTTCAGCCGAATATGAGTGAAGAAGAATGTAAAGAAGTAGTTAAAAATGCGGTTGCACTGGCAACGTACAGGGATGGGTCGTCGGGTGGTGTTATACGGCTTGCTGTTATTGATAAGGATGGCACTAGAAGAACGGTTAGTCCGAATTTATTTTTCGGCCAATTTTGAGTGAAATCATTGCTTTTGTTGATTTACTTTTAGTTGATCCGACCTGATGGTACCGCATTCCCGACTTTTGAAGAAATTCCTGCGCATTTGACCTTCCCAAAACATATTGTTCAGTGACTCTGAATCATGTTACTGTTGTGTACTTTCTGCTCATTAGTTGCAGCACTTGTTTTTCTTCGTGTATAATCGTTAAATTTTTTAATTTCCTCTTACAGAATCTGAATAAGGTGGTACTTCCGCACAGAGTGATATAAATTAGCTATTCTAAGGGAAATTGTGAAAGGTGTTTTTTTTAAAGCTAATCTTTTCACCTGCTTCTCTGTTCTCTTCTCTCAGTTTTAACTTCCTACGATCTTAGGGTCAAGTGTAAAATAAGAGTAATTAAAGAGGCATTAGCTGTCTGACCTTTTTATTTGGATTTAATTTGTCTGCAGTGCCTACGATTTTGAGAAATTTCGGGCTCAAGTGGATAGTAATTTTTTTGTCTGGTATGAATTTCCTAGACATTAATCGTTCTGAATTTCATTGATGTAATACTAGACGGAAGGTATGGAGGGTTAAGAAGTTTTATAGGTGTACTTTCTATGGGTTTGCGTGTTGCTCGCAAGTTGCTGACGGATAAATTCTGTTTGATTGTGGGACAACCACCGTTTCTATGTTTCGTGTTTTATTAAAAGTTTTCAAGTTCATGAAACGAATTAGAAAACATTTATTTCAAAACATTGTTTTGTGGTTGGATTATCGCAGTTCTCTCTAAATTTTTCGACGAAAGCTGGCGGTAGGTTTTGTAAGTACGAATGGCATAATTCCGCGTTGTATTGGAACTGCGCCATCTTTGGTTGGACGGTCTTGTCAAAAGCTGTGAAGGTGTTTCTTGGTTATTATTATTATTGGTGTCCAACAGTTTTTCCTCAACTTCAGATTTATCAGGAAGCAACGAAAGCTTGAGCTTTTTGTTGGTGTGTCTTTTTGCATGTAGCTGAATAAGACTAGTCGGCCTCCCAAAAGTTCGCCACGCTTTGTGAGAAAATTCGTCAACGGAAAAGAAGGGGAAATTGGAAGGTCTTGAGATTCAGTAGTTTAGAATGAAGTGGCTGATTGCTTGAAGGTCTGCGCTGTATGATTGCTTTTGAGGTGTTGCCACTTTACAATGAAATTAATAGGACCATAGAAAATTGCGAAGAGTTACTGCAAAGTTGTCGTGACAATACAGTAAAAACACATCCCTGGTTACAACAAGACATAAAAGTCAGTGCGAATATTTGTTTCAGTTCGGAACAGTATTCGAAGTTAGGTTTGTTATTATTTTTGCAATTCAGATTATCTTGAAGGTTCAATAAATTTATGAATAAAAAATACAAGCAACACTGTTTACAATAGAGCAGGAGAAAGTGGAAAAAGTTTATATATATAAATATGTATAAAGTAGACGTCATTTTTGTTGTTTGGTTTTCATTTCTGTTGGAACATGGAGACGGTTAAGTGTTTAATGATGGCAATTTATTTGGGAACTGTAGAATTATTGTGAGTAGTTTTTGGAACCGGTGGACAATGTTATTAATACTGTGAACGATGGTGTGATGGCTACATTTTAGTCAAGGTGCTAAGTCGATGAACACTTCAATTTAAATAGACAACATCTGCGTGACCAATATTTATGTAGGTACGGTGAAGTCTATTTTATTTTTTGGAACGCAGTAATTTTAGTGCTTCTGCAAATGATCTTCCGGCCGTGATGTGCATATAACTTTAAGGATACCCGCTAAATAATCAGTTGTTGCTAATGGCTTTTCTGTAACAAGAAAGAAATTAAATTGGTTGTATTTACTGGGAGCGGTATTGGGGAGAAGGGATGAAGACAAATAATGGATGAATAAACGAGTAAATTTTTATGATATTTCCCCGGCAACCATCGTTTTCAGTGAACAGTTGGTAGGGAATGAAAAAAAAAGAGGGAAAAAGGAAAGTTTAGTTGGCAATAGTTGGTTAAAAGGTTGGTAGTTTGATGTATATGTGTTCGTCAAAGGGGCTATTTTTTAGCCGAACAACAATTATGGACTGGTTAAAGTTATTGTCCACGAAAAATAATGACCCATTGTGGTGCTACCGGTCAATTATCGTTCACTGATTAACACAATTCAATTAGATGTAACCATCCGTATTTCCCACCTGTTTCTCTCTCCGTTTTTTTTTTTAATTAAATGCATTTTCTAAAAGTGCTTACGTTTACTTTTAACATCTCTGTGAGAGGAAAAAAAAAAAAACGAAATTAAGGCTTCTAGGGCATTTTTTGCAAAAAAAGGAAAATACAGACAAATTAGAGCGTAAAGTTACTTTTTATTTGTTTGAATTGCTTCTGCTTGTTTTGTTGTTTTTTTTTTTCTTTCCTTTCCGTGGTATTCTCAATTTTTTTTATAAAAAAAATTGTTCTTTTTTGTCAGCTTACTAAAATGAAATACTTTAAGGAGGACGAGAAAAAAAGGTACAATTAAATGTCGACTGTTTGAATTGGCTATCTGGATTAAATTGAAAGTTTTTTTTACCGCTCAATCTGCAAATGATTTTTAATCAGGTTGCTTTCATGTTAAACACTTCAAAATATTCTGTTGGGTACGGTGTCTTTCAAAAGGTTAGCTTCAAAACCAACTGTTTAGATCATTAGATCAAACATCAAATACAGTATATCAGAAAGGCTGATTATTTTTGACAAGTTGACGTTGAACTTTGAACATCCGACTTTTGGTAGACAAGTCAATATTCATGTATTAAAGATTCATCAATCTGTAGATTAGGAATTGGCTTACGAATGGGTTGTGTCCTTTTAATCTGCCAAACAAGAAGAAGCAGAAATTTTACATCGTACAGATAAATTCAGTGCCAAAAAAGCTCTTCAAGAAATACAGAATTTTTCCGGTATCTTGAGATCTGTTCAGTTGTAATGCTTACCAATAAAATATAAGCAAAAGCGTTTTCCAGAATGGTTTGCATAACTGCTTGGTAGAAGTAATCCAACTGTAAAATGGTGTTTTGATAAAACTTAAATGGCACAGTAACTGCTATTTTTCTATTCACATATAACTTTTTGTTGCTGTTAAAGCACATTTATTTACCACAAACAATTTATCTAAAATAAAATGGCAGATAAAAGAGTTTTTTTTTTTTTTAAAAACACTTTAAACAAAATATTAACTTCGGCACTGGTCAACAATTAATTCTGACATCAAAAATATTTGTTAATTGATCTTTGTTTGTTTTTTTTTTAATGTTTAATACAATAAGTAATTACTTGTGAAATGTTAATTGTTAACACCGTAAGAATAATTACAGTTTAGCATTAAAATATAAAGCATGATTTACGAGAATAACTTGAAATAAAAAAAAAAAAAAAA